AAAAAAAAGCAGTGTTTAAAACCTAATGGTTCTGAAAATTGTAAGCTCACTAACATTAATCAAGAATGAGAACTATGACAGTCAAATTTTCAAAACTGCAAGTTACATCTGATATGTTAATTGAAAATGAAACACACTAATATGAATTGAATGAATGTAATACACAACACGCAATACAGTGCAAATGTACAAGAACTAAAAGTGCCAAATTCAATCTACAGAATACATGAAAAACAAATCATCACAAACCTGATATAGAAAGCCATTTAATACATAGATCACGATGCACAGGAGTATACCATATCACCCAATGGAACTCCCCTGGGGTATCACAAGGTAGCAGAGACATAGGAGTCATTCAGAATGAGAAGAGCCGAGTGCTAGCTGCTCCACTGCCTAAATATGGCGGACGTCCATGAAAGGAGATTTAATTACTGTGCCCCTGCAGGGGCGACGCGTGGGGAGGCGTGAAAGAGGCAGAGAGAGGTAAGGATTAAGCAGTCTTCCTTTCATGTAGGTCTGCCATGTTTAGGCCTTGGACCAGCTAGCAATTGGCTCTTCTCATTCTAAATGGCCCCATATATGTTCACAATCCAAAAAGTACATTGTGCTCAGACATATATAAGGCATAAGTGAACTCACCACCTCAGGATCTGGCTGATCTCCAAAGTCAAACTGTATAACCCGCCTGTTCCTGTTCTCCTCCTCCCACATGGATGGATGGAAACTGTTGTCATCACTGTATATATCTGAAAGGAGGACACACAGTTTACGTGAATAGGATACATTGTAATAGGGATAAGTCATCAAATAAACATAATAGCTATCCTTTCCATACCTACTCTCGAAGCTGGCATAAGATAGTTTGATTTTAGGCTTGCTATTACTGTACATTTTCAGCAAAGATTCAGAGAACAAATCTGGCAGTGAGAATCTTTTTAGACACAGAGGCTGATTGAAAAAGGCTCCCTCCTTCAGATAAAATAACTTCTAGGCATTATTTGTGCCATACATTATGATTGCTACTCTTGTTTGTATTGCCTGGCAAGTTACCTTCAGGGTTTGAAGCCTGTTGAGGCAGCAGGTAGCAGGTCAACATTCTCTTCCCTGTGTCCACATCTATATCACTCTGAAGGCGGATCAGGGGCTGAGCCTGACAGGTGGAGAGAACAGACAACCTTCAATTGTTTTTCAATAATAATACATAATAATATTTGTAATTGCTCAAACTGGGAAAGCTCCTTTAAACTTGTCCAGATTCTCTCTCTCACACACACACACACACACACACTCACTCACTCACTCACTCACTCACTCACTCACACACACACACACACACACACACACACACACACACACACACACACACACACACACACACACACACACACACACACACACACACACACACACACACACACACACACACACACACACACACACAC